GGCTTATTAGAGAGGGGGGCTAAATAATGGATTTATGGTATATGTATATGTACATGTATATACACTCGATTGCAGAAACGTTGTAGTATACATTTATACATTTATACAAATATCTAATGAGATGCATAATGCAAAATAACCATTTTCAACGCTTAAACCAACTGATTTATAATCTGTACGATCAAACAGACAAGAAAAAAAAATTTTGATAGTCACTGAATGAAACAAACAAAGAAAGCGATATTTCTGTTTTGCATATCATTAAATATACTGAATAAATTAGATATATGTATAAATGTATACTACAACGTTTCTGCAATTGAGTGTATATATATATGTATATGTAGATTGGGGAGAGTTAGAGACATTAGAAAAGATAGTGATTCAAGATAGCGATTGTTCAAAAATAAAAGTACAGTATTTGAAAATTTTTTTTCTAAACATAGGAGGTCAAGATAGACCACAGAGATATATTGAGGTTCTTTAGGATTGGATRTGGTGCTGTAAATTATTCTTTAAACATGTTGCACATTAATTTTCTAATAAAATTCTTGCAATATTCAAGTGTCATTCCCTAGAGTATCATTTCTTTGTTTAAAAATTGAGCACAAGAAGACACATGAATATGGGTATGATTCCAAACAAAGAATATTACATTATATAACACATTGCACATTAAGCGAAAAGGATCTATTAAGATAATATTAACTAAATAGTCTACAAAAAAAAAAACAACAACAAAAAAACCAGTACACATCAAGCTAAAAGGATCTATTGAGATATAAATACATACTAAATAGTCTTACAAAAAAAATCTATGGGAAAACAGTAAACATTAAGCTAAAAGGATCTATTGAGATATAAATATTCACTAAATGGTGATGCTGAAAAGTAGGATTTGATCTTACCCATTGCATGTAGGACAGATGATATTCTTACTGAGCTGTAGTTTAGTAGTTTTTCCATTGTACAAGTCTTCCAGCGTAACTCTATAAAACAAAAAGGTTATTTATTACCTAGATGCCTGTAGGAAGGTCAGGATATCATACATGGTGAGTCAGAATGGTGTGGTGGCATTTCCAGTTGCCCCATGTGAGCCAACTTTAAGTAGGAAGTAGGAGTATATATACCAAGTCTTAGTTATGATAGTCTATTTTTTCCCTCTTTCCCATGTTTGAAATATTACTTAACTGCTAAGACTATTATTTCAATGACGGTAGCTTTTTCATTAGTGATGCTTACTTTAGAGGGTGAAACATGTCATCGCCTCTTCTTCTTCTATGTCGACCTCCTCCAAATCCTTTAAAATAATCCACATGTTAAGTAATATATACAGCATGAGTGGCTGTATTGTATCAGATATACAACCACGAGGCGTAGCTGAGTGATTGTATATCTGATACAACACGGACACGAATACTGTATTTTATGACTTATCAAACATCTAGGTTAGTTCCTTTGTGTTTCACTAAAATTTTCAAAACTAAAGTAAATTTGGCCAAGAAAATCCAACTTAAAGTTTATGCAAATGAACACAGTTTTGTATCAGATTTACAACACTCTTCACAGTCATGATTTCTGTTGTGTTTTCCTCATGAATTATTTACGAGTTTGATAATATTATATACAGACACCTAGATAACTCAGTAATTTGAGCACTGACCAGTATATTGCACTGGAGGTTTAACGATCAAACGAGCAGGGCCTTAAATAGGGTTTTGGAATGTTTTGGTGGTTATATCTTTGAAGTATGCGCTGTTACCTGATACAAGTAAAAGGAAGGTGTTTTATTCTTGGCTTTCACGTGATGTAATCAAAAAAATAAAATCCAAAGTATTCACTCCATAAAACTGTTTGTTGAAAATTTGTTTACACGGTTATAAGAAAAGCTTTACCAAAATAATTTTGTGTTTTCAGTGTTTGGTTTTAGATTTATTACCGACCAAATTCATCACACAATCATTGTCAGACACTTTCAAAGCATTAGGAATGGGGAAAATCAATTGAAATAATATGTTTTTATTTTAGTAGATGATGACCCTATATCGATGATGATTGAAGTGGGTGCAATATAAACCTGATTTTCAACCTTTGTGATTTGGCAGCCATCTTTTTGCCCCTTAATAGGACACAAAGGTGGCGGATCCATATATTTCAACTAAATTATGGGTATAATCAATTGCTCGTATCTCCGTTACTAAAACTTTTTTTAGCTAGAAATTTGGCTGATATAGTTTTTATTGCTCTTTCGGTCTGTGGAAGTTTTGTTGCATATAAGTCTTTGGAAAGTTTTCGATGACATAGGTGAAAGCCAAGAACAGAAAAGTAAAAGCTGGCAGTTATAATTTCGAAGCAATCACAGGAGCTCTGCTTATTCTGAAAGCCCTGCTTGAAACAACTGATATAAAGCTACCTTTATAAATACATACATTACATGTATATATGAGAGTGGCTTGAATGAGCACTTTGAATGGATGTCCTAATAGTCTAAATAAACTCCATTATRAAATAACTCAGTGTTATAAATCTCGCATTTTCATTGGTTGGGAGCGTGTGCTTTATGCGCCCTTGCTTGCTGTTCTGAGTGGAGTTATAAAGCATGGGGATTGGCAGACCACTTGAGAAGTGTCCAGAAACACTCCGCTATACACAATGCTTCTCCTAACACTTCTCTCGTGTTCTATCTATCCCCACGTGCTTTGTAACTGCACACAGCACATGCGCATGTTTTTTTATTTCTTCAGTAGTGAACACCCTGCAACTCATTATTTACCGCCTTTTGTGAATGTCAACTACATATAATGCACTTTGAATAATATTAATCATTATTAGATTTTAATAGGTCTACCATGACATAAGCTTACCACCAAATAATCCACCACCCATTCCACCACCAAAGATGTGTGAGAGAAGATCGTCAAATCCTGCCGCTACGATAAGAAAACAGTAAAAGTAAATTTTAATGAGAAGTGTAGAACGTTATTGAGAGTTCTGTGTAGATTTTATAATAGATTTATTAAAAAACAATAAAAAATCTACAAAGCTTTTCGCTGTTGTATCACAGCGTGGGACAATCACAACAGAGCTAGGCTCCAAACTAAGTGAAAGCCCAAAGATCGAATTAGAATCGAATTAGTTGATTTTTGTGGAGGGAACAAACAATTCTACTCATATAAGACATCGAGATCTGCAGGACTTGAACTCGGGCCGCATTAGTGAGAGGCTGCACATTAGCAGCGCACGCCACCAGTGCTTCCCTATTAAAAAACAATACCATACAGCACATGACAAACCAAAGATGTTTATACTGAGCTACACCACAATGCACGAAGTTCTCTATTTCAGGAAATGTTGATGCAAGGAGATTACCACAGAATATGAAATCACATTCCTGCATTCTGATTCACCGTATTTCTAATGGCATGAGATAAACAGAGTATACTAGTTTTATGCTGACTAGTCGTTTGTTTATAGTAACCCATGAATAATCCATGATCCCGATAAAAGCCGAATGGCAGGTTTCATTGTTGACGTATTTCCGGTGACGTGACCACCCTGAAAACGAAGCTGGCCGTCACGCGGCCGTCAGTTTAGCCATCATTTTGTAAACAAACTGTTGCCCTTTAAAAAGTGTATCTTGATATAATTAAGCTAAATTTTTGAAGTTTTGTCACGATGGGTAAAACGTGTATTG